GGTACACAAAAAATTGAATATATATACGATTATATATACGAGAGGGTCTCAGTGCCCAACGGATATGTTTAGAGTTTTACAGAGTTTTATTTTTGATATTTTTATTTTCCAATTTTCTGAGAAATGTTTGACATTCGTATAGATAACCTAGTGATAAGAGACGGCGAACCAGAGTTTTTCTGGGCTGCTCATAGAGAGGACAGTACCAGAGGACCTGATCCAGATCTTCGTTCAGATGATTACATCGACAGTTGGTAGACACCAGCAGACCCTTACGATGAAGAGAAGAGGCTAGATGACAATGATTTGCTCCTGCTCGGTTTATCCAAGAAATCCTGTGACGGGGCAGGTTGCGGTTGTGGAACCATGGCTTTCGTATCTTTGAATAATAATTATCAAAGTAATATTTACCCCTAAATGGAGCATCACTCATTCATTTATCAAAGGATAAGTCCAGAGCGCTTTTTTTAAAACTTCGAAAGTCTGAGTGTAGAAGTAGAACCATTTGATCTGGTGGCAACTCCGTAGCCTCTTCCGCCAAGTGGTCAGCCTCTTCATTGCCCTCGACTCCCGTGTGAGACGGAACCCATTGCAATTTCATATAATTCGAGTTTCCATTGATTTCCATGAACCGTTTATAGTACTTCTTTAGGTTTAATAAAGTCGAAGCAATACTTTTTGTCTGGGGGCGGCTGATGATGGACCGCTACTTGCTCAATAACTCTTTAACTGTTAAAAATAATCACAAATACTCTATTTTTGTATGATTTACTTTACATTCTTCGGTTCGTCCTTGTGTGAGAAAACGATAAACTGACGATGATGAATGGAAAATTGGGGCCATCGGGATTTCATCCTAAATTTCGCACTCAAAATTCCATTGAATTCGAAAAATCAACGGAGATTGAGTGAATACATTGCAAAATGGGACAAACACTACCATTGATTAATTGTATTTAACTCCAATTGCAATAGAAATTAATAAATTTCTTCATAATAGGAATGTCCACAGGAGTGGGCAAAACAAATAGTTCCTGCATACTTCAACTGAAAAGACGAAAATTCGCGTTCGACGAAGATAAAATGAATAATCGAGAAGATAGTTTGCTCGAATCGTGCTTATCTAATATAATACCTGATTATCTGATGATTACGTTGATGCTGTACAGATCGATGGAGAAAACGAATTTTATCTGCCAAATATCACTTTTATAATAAAAAATATAATCGTAAAACATTCTTTAGGTGAATTTTTTAGAGCCTCTGAATTATTCTTAATTACTTTATTCAATACCTCATTAAGTTACGAAGTGATAATAGTGATAATAAAATTTCAGCCTTCATTATCCTCTCGTTCGAAGTGAAAACAAAAATATCTGTTTATTTGCAAACATCACTGAGAGGATAAAAATTGAGAAAAAAAGAGAAAAAAAAAAGACTCCACGTGCTCAGACTTTGCATTGAAAAATCGAATTCTTAATAGAATGCAATTAATTCTCAATTGTTTAGAATAAATACCCCATTTATTATTTCACATCATGAATAGATGCATCTGTGAATAGACCACCATTTTTTATTCTATCAGCAGTGAAATAGCGAATTGCTCGCGTGTTGCACTTCATTCAAGAAAAGATCCTGGGAAGAAAGGGGCCTCACGTTTTCCTGCATTCTCAGTAAACTCATTTAACCAGACTCAGTGCAAAACACAAGAGCCTGGAGGCACCTGCGAGAGATCGACCCGTAGACCTCGTTCGTTCATTTCAAGACCATTTCTTCATGATTTTTCATTGAACGAAGCAATTTACAAATAAAATTCCCATTCTACACTCACTTTCTAGCCGATCGACTCCCGCTTTGGCCAATGAATTACTGATTAAGTGGATATTGATGAAATTAACCGGTAATAATAATTTGGCGTCAGACACTGGGGGTAAAATAAATCGGACCGTGTGCCACTTGTACGTCTTCAGAACACTTTTAAGTGCAAATTGTACTGAGCCCGTGACACAGAGCCGCGGCTTAAACTGCACGTTCGGTTTAGCCGGTCAAGGTCTCCGATGATGTCTCAATGAATGTTATTGCCTTGAGAAATAATTCTCTGAATTTTGGGATTTTGTTTATGTTTTATACTTGTTTATCAGACCCATACGGGAGTTCCGACAACCTCTGCATATACCGTTATTACCTGTCTGATGTTTCCACTTCTCCAACCACTAGCCGACCAGAAATGGCCCCCCAGCTTGAAAACCGAGGACACTCACCGCTACGATATTTCAACCACTGAAGTTTTGCACTAATCAGCTCCACAGCGACTTAATCAGTAATCTAGGGATGATTTTTCATGCAATAACGCGTTGAATTATTCAGAGAGGCTTTGACCTTCAATTTCACTTACTCCATAATTTTTCAAACAATAAATTCTGTTTGAATTACCCCGTGGAAACATGAACACCATCTCACTTTCATCGGATCTTTTGTTCTTCCACAGAAAATTGTCCAATTACTTAATTAGTATAAATCGATGAACTATAGGGATTTATCCTCATTTGAGAGTCAATAGTTTTCACCGGAATTTTCAATTCGATTCATAATGAAAAAGAGAGAACGAGAAAACCAGATTAGAAAATAAATTTCAGGTGAAACCAACAGTGAATGGAATTTCTAGAAAACTCAAGGGCAATTATTATCAGTTAATAGAATGGTAATGATTCAAATTGGAGAAACATACAGGAGAAGATAATAATTGCACATATTTGGGTCACGGAAGTAAAGTCTGGCGCCAGACATGAATTTTCCCCAGTGGCTTTTTAAGCAATTTTAAATTCAGCAGACCCATCTCCACCTCAAACTCCCATCGATGTGCGTAGAGGAGATGCATAAAATAGAATTCATTAGGTATAAAAGTACGATTATTTTCGCTTTCACAAAAGCAACTTGTTTTCCCTCATGCGCAATCGCCTTGCCACTTCGGGTGATCCGACACTTGTGGAAAAACCATCCATGATTGCTCTGAACCTCTTGCCAACCGCTGGAACTCGAGGAATATGGAGATCGAATTCCCAACACGCTTCAATGCAATTCCAAGTCAACCGTAAGTTGCATTCACGAGGTGGACACTAGTGTACGTGAGGATGTATGTAACGTAATGTTTCAACTGTACGATTACTAGGCAGTTACTGATGTACTACGTGGTGTCCGTTACTCGGCCGAATTGCTTTCAAAATGTCAGCGTTTATCGAAAAAAAGGAACGCCATGGGACGTCCGTAGAAATTCAACCCAATGCAAGTACTACAGTGAAAAAATATTTATAATTTTCTAAAAGAAATCTAAATCCTTGCCATGATTACAGAAAGAAGAGTAAAAACGTGAGAATCACCGCCTCCGATTCCCCACTAAAAATACCTGTCGTCAAAGAATTAGTGCCAATATAATTTCTTCAGTTCTCCTTAAGACAAAAAATCAGCAAACAGTTGCATAATCTCCTAACCAAACATCTCGACCGCAGAATTACAAGACCACTGATAATGCAACCGCAGATGGTCTTACAATCTCAGTACCACAAGTGTAAGTACGAGCGGCATACCAATGTATCCCAACAACCCAGATCTCGGGCAAATGTTTGAGATATACCGTTAAAGAGTGCCTCACAGTGGCTCGTACATCAACAGCCTGTAGGCCGCACTTACCAGAGGTGTCTCATCGAAAGAAAGGTGGGTCTCCAACTCTGGAATTTCAATACCAAGTTAAACATATTAACCTGTTGCCAGGACATCTAGAGCCCGGGGACGAAATAACACCATCAAAATGCTCAAAAAGGTCAACAAAAAAAAAAACAAAAAAAATACTGAATAATGGATAAGCCATGGGCATAGAACTGCCCGCGGGATCTCCCACACGTAGTCAACGGATAGTCAATTGCAAATCACCAGCTCAACGCACAAATGCGGAATTTCACGGTAGTGAGCCTGAGGCGCACGTCAGGCCCACGGCTCATTCCGAGCTCAAGTAAAAAGATCCGAAAAATGAGATGAAAAAAAAAAAGCAGAGAGCCCCCACTTGGCTGGTCTCCCCTGTGCTTTTTTTACCGGGATAATCGTTATATGGAAAGTCGATACAGGATAATATGGAACGAGAGATGTTCCCAGTGGTTTAAGATATGGCATGGTGGAGGCAGAGAAGGAGGGGGAACATGGGTATATTTCTTCTCCCTATCTCCACCATTTCTTCCTTCTCTGCCTCCTCTTCCTCCTCTTCCTCATCTTCCTCATCTTCCTCCTCTTCCTCCTCTTCCTCCTCTTCCTCCTCTTCCTCCTCTTCCTCCTCTTCCTCCTCTTTCACCTTTTCCACTTCTTCCTCATCTTCCTGTTCTCCAGCAACCTGTCGGCGAGGAGAGGCGGTGGGAGGGAGGATTGGCATCACCAGCATCATCAGCATCACCTGTATCTTTCTTCTGACTTGTGCGCACACAGGTAAATACAAAAGAGTTGAGGGGGGGCGACGGTGTTTGTAATCAAAGGGGCGATTCGTGCGCGGCATGGAAGAAAGTCAGCCTACCGGCAACTGCCCACCAGTTCACCGACGCGCCTTCTACCGAATGGACGTTTCCATCTATTTTCCCTTTATTTATTTATTTATTTATTTACTGGATAAACAAGCCATGTTACGGGCATTACGGAACAGGTCAATGTGGATATCCCGAATTATTCTTTGATCGAGTTGGCCAGCTCTTAACGCCACTCGAATTTTTCAAGTGGTAATCCTCCCTTCGCCCATCCCTTATCTCAACCGTTTCGTCTCGGGAAGAATCACATGGACCAACTCGTGATGATGAATTATTGATAGTTGGGAGATTCAGCGTTTCTCCCATTGCTGGAGTGATTTTTTTCAACAACTCTGGCGGTTGTGGTGAGTTGTTTTTCGTGGGAGTTGAATGGCTTCCGGCAGGTTTCACTTTGCGCTCGCTTCTGAGTTAGCAATCGAATTTATTTAAGTGGATATGTGATAATTTACCGGGGTGTTAAGGGATTTTCATTGATTCGAGATGTGACGGCTTTAGGATTTCGGCATTTGCAAACAAACAGTTCTCGTGAGATTTCAGAATTTTTATTGATAATCAAGTTTTGAAAGCGGTCGATTTTACAGGAATAGTGCAGGCCTTGATTCTGCATGGTTAAATTCTCAACAATAACAATCTTCTGATATTTGTCGGACAGTTAATATAGTTTTGAACATTTATCGATGGTTTAAAACACCTTGACTGCTACTTCCTAGTGAATTTGTTTAGGATTACTCTGAATAAAGTAATAACATTTATTAATGATCAATTATTATCGGTGAGTGTTGACATTTGGAAGTTATGTATCATGTCTTTCTACAGAATGCGTGTGAATTAATGGAGTCGAGGTAATTTTTACCACATTTTGTGTCTGCGTTCCAATTAACAGATTTTCCATTCGTGTTGATAACATTTGAATATGCTGGAGGATTCTTGCGATAAGAGTGTGCAAACTGTTGGCAATCTCATCTATTTATGACACACGAATCCCCAGATAAAAAAACGTCAGATCTACTCACACTATCCAACAAATTTCCTACTTCCACCTTTAGGAGTAGCTCCAGAAGGATTGAATTATCTCATTAGTGTAGAGATTTATGGGCGATCTATAAACATACACGATGTTCTGTTTCAACAATTTTGTCGTGACGATTGTTAACCAGTTATCTTGATTATAAGCCTGCTGAGTGTGTAATGGAGAACGATAAAATAATCCATTGCGCGTATGAAATAAAAACGCCAAGTTAGCAGTTAAACTTGATTCTGACGAGAGGATGTCAATCTAAGGATATTTTATTAAAACGTATCTCTGCATATATTATTTATCTACTCTTTCCTCACTGACGACCTTCTTAGTGGTTGCAATTATGGGCTTTGCAGAGTCATGTGAAAGTTTAGAAGCACAATGTAGTGTTCTTATAGAGGCGACACATTGGCCGTACAAGCGTTAAAGGTCAAAGGAAATTCAATTCCCCGGAATTCAGATCTCCATTCAGATATTTCTCTCATCAGTTTTTTCCCCTTTCAGTCTCCGTTTTTAGGAGAAATAACTGAAATGTGTGTTGAATTGCGGTGCAAAAGCCTCCGAACCGTGTCAGAGAGCGTGTCACGGAGAATCTACAATTGTTGCATAACATTGTATTGTCTAGGGTTTTAACGCAATGGAAAAATACTATGGGATTCCACGGGAGGGGCAGCCGGGGAAAATACAATAGGGATAAGGCTCACGATTTGACTGGAAATCAGAACGGATATCTTCCACAGAGCCACTGCAAAATTACCCCAATCGTAAAATTAACTCGTGAATTAATGAGCCTCATCGTTATGCAACAAATTTAATGTATTCTTTTCTCCAGTCGGTGAACGGAAAATGCGCTTCTTTTTTTTTCAACCAATCAATATGTCAAAATGACTTCCAATTAATCCAGCCCTTGGGGCCCAGTCTCGTTGATCGTAATCTCCGAGTTGAATGGGTCCCCCGAGACTCCGGGAATAATTACTCGTTCCGATGGTTTTCTTTTTGCACGGGAAATAAAGTTTAAAAATTCAACAGTGAATAGAATTTGTTCCCAAACAACTTCCGAGTTTTGCGGTAATCGAGAACAAATAATTACTGAACGAGTTCTTTCACCTCTCACGGATAACTCAAACGAAACGTTACCTTTCACGATAATTTTGTAATTGCAAGACAACCTGAACTGAACTCGTTGGATGACGATTGCATCTTAATACACGTTTGCGTCTTCTAGTCTTGTTCCAGTGGCACATTTATCCACCACCAGCGACTGAATCGCCCAACTATCGAGTTCAAATCTCCACTTGCGATGGTATGATACGATGCACTCGGTACATTCTCTGTACACATGTCTGATCATGATCCAAAGTCTCATCGACAATTCATACGCCTCCGTATCTATGCCAAACACGTGATAAATCATAATTTCACACTGTGCTGCATTTTTTTTTTCAATTCGTCTTTTGGTAAGATCACTTCTTTCAAATCCTTTTACGAAGTGGCGTTTCTCAACGCACAATTTTAACGCAGAGAGAACGAAACGATCGAGAATGCGCCGAGAAATGCCTACGGCTATAAATTCCGTTACATGAACCTGCGTATTCGGCTTGTAGTTTATCCAAAATTCACGTTTCATCTGTTGATAATTATTAAATTTAAGCCTGAGGGGGGCAATAGCGGTTGAGGGGTGGGGGGAATTCACCTGGCGAACGGTAAAATATCCAAGGGAATTTCTCTTGATATTTTTTTCTCTATCGTCACGATGAATTATAAATGTATCTTTCTATTCATCTCGTCAATTTATACGATTATTCATTCGCGTGAATGTAGTAGGATTTCTCTAGATACCAGAGAAGAATTTAGTTTTTTTCAATATACACATCTTTCTTGTCTCAATTTTTTGCTGGGCTAGTCATTCCTCCTGGTGTAGACTTAAATTATTTGACACCTGCATATGGAACTCTCGGTTGAAATTAAAGAATGTGCACACAATGAGTAATTCGTTTTTCTTCTCTATCTTGACGTTGAGAAATAAATAAATAAATCTTCTCCGCTGGCTCTCCAATCAGCTGATTGACCCAAGGTCAATTTACTTTCTAGATGATACATTCTACTGGTGAAATAATGGTAGAGGGAATGATGATAGAAAAACTACGAGGGTTTTGTGATTTCGAGTTTACCGGTAGCATCAAAGATGTACTTTCTCGTACTCGATCATATCGATTCAAAGGCGTCTCAGAGACACATCGAGTCAAGTGAAAACATGCCATTCAGCCACAGCGAAAACCTTCGACCTCCAATGAATTTGCATTAACCAGAGAAAATCAACGTTTCACCTCTGAAAAAAAAATCCCAGCAAAGTTAGTTTCATCTAATCAATTTAGTTGCTCACTTACCATCAACTTTTTTTTTTTATTTCAGAGTGAATTTACCTCAGATGAGTAGATTGAGGCCGCAGAATGGAGTCGAAGAACGGAACTGACGAATTTGTTACGGTAGTCAGTGTAGGAACTCAGCCAAAGATTGAAAATTTTGTAACTGTGCTATCGATTGGCACTGGAAGGACCGAGGGATCTGCCGATGGTGACGAAGGACAACTCGATGAGGAAGTTGAGGTTTACAGACTTCCTGGGGAGCGACTGGGATTCGGGCTCAAGTTCGAAGGGGGTAATAAAACGTCGGAGCGTGTGAGGAGGCTCTTTGTCCAGAGTTGTGCTGAACACAGTCCTGCCAGCAGGACTAAGTGCTCCTGGGGTAGCTTGGGAGAGGGAGATGAGGTATTTTATGGTCATTCCATCATAAAAACTACTACTATCATGTTAAAAGCTATACTGCAGTCCTCAACACTGATGCTATTGAATAATTTATGGTATTTTTCGTTGCAATAGCAGTCTCTGATGCTCGGATACAGGAGTCTATACCCTCATCAGAAATGTGTAAAAATATAGATAATATGGACGTTTAAAAATATATGGGAATACATTTATAAAAAATTTATACAAAGTATATGTTAAACGCACATTTTGGGAGCAAAGTAAGAAAGTAAATGCAATAAAAAGGGAAAATGGGGCTTGATAGGTGAAAGTTTCAAGAATAATATTTGTTCAATGAATATTTGTCTCTTCATTTCCAACGGAGTACTAAAAGTATGTCAATTCGATTTGATTTTGAGATCCGATATTTCAATTAAAAGTTTTTCACTTGGTTTCATTCATAATTTTGAAGATATTTTCAACATGTTCATGAATAATTTTTCTTCAGATTTTATCCATCGATGGAGTTCCGGTGACTCACATGAGTCGTCTAGACTGCGTTCGCCACCTCAAAGAATCTCAGCTCGTGATTAAATTACTCGTCCGGTGTCGAGGTGCACTGCGACCAAAAGTGGTCAGCGCTGAGAGGAAGTCAAGTCCCGAAAAGAGTAAATCTCCTCCTGAATTACCTGCCTTGCCACCCCCAGTACCACCCAGAAAGCTGAGACAGGCCCGCGGTTCGGCAGATGGTGATGCCAATCCGAGTCCAGTGAGAAAAATCAAAAACGGACAGGGGAATGCTCTCCGTGGAGAAACCAAATTCTCAATCAACCATGGCAACAATTCATCACCGAAAGCTACAAATCACAAGTCCCCAGAATTCACCAAAAGTAAACAGGTGAATAACACAGGGTAAATGATATCTTCTCAAAAATGGAGAGGTCCTAAAAATAGCTAGTTAACTCAGCCGCGAAATTTATAAAAATCATCATTACCACATGCAATTTAATATTCCCTACCTGATTGTTTAAAAACAATTTTTTAAATGAACCTTCCCAAATCGAATCGATTATTGCTAATGGTTTGTTTTTCCTACTAGCCGACAATGCAGGAGCCCCCGGAAGCATTGGTGTACCTCGACGCTCGTTCCCAGGATGGATCGAGCACGCATGGAAGTACTTCAGACGACACAGGCAGCTCCATGTCCACTGTAGTAGACAGAACTTTAACCTCAGACTTATTTTCGACGATTTCAACAACATCAACCGCCTTAGAACAACCGAACGACACTCCAAACGACAGCCACTGTCTCCTGGAGTCATTCGACCACCTGGACAAAGACTTCTGCACCCCCCCAGGTTATTTGCTCAAACGTCTGGCCAATTCTGAGGCAGTGACCCACGTAGAGTCTCGAGGAGAAGTCGGAGCTCTAGTTGAGAAGGTGACAGCAGTGGTTGCCCCCAATACAGTCCTGATAGAGGAAACCTTGACCCTCCAGCCACCCCTAAGCTTCCAGGACGCTCCACTGAGCTACGCCCACGAAACAAGCCCTGGAATTTTTTACACAGCAGATCTCGCTGCCGACTCAACTACTCACTTTAGACCAATCTGTGATGATGCCTCAATGGTAGAATCCGTAAACGAATCCCCCGAGTCACCAAAAAAATCCACTGACATCCTAGCCCCACCTTTACCACTCCGTAATCACATTAACAGAATTCCAGTGAACCAGATAACCAGGGACTCTGTTTCCGGCGATAAACCTGACCCTAATGAGACCGATAAACCTATTGACGATTCCCTAAACCTTCCACCAAAGCCATTACCCCGTAAAGATTCGAAATTCAAGAGGAAACGATTGCCTCCACCGCCACCGCCACCAACAGCACCGAGACGTGAAGCACCACCGGTTCCCCATCGTACCTCTCAAATATCAAAGTCAATTGTTCATGAAAAACCGGATGTTGATGATGTCACGCTTTTACAAATTTCATCATTGCGTAAAGAGCAAGAAAAGATTTCCTCGATAGTTAATGAACCGATCCCTCCACAATTGTCTGAGAAAAAACTCGAGATTAATGGCTCAATAACCGAGAATATATCATCGATCATTGATGACCCCAAATCCTTGGAAACAATTCCACATAAAGAGGATAATAACACTCTACCGACGAACAAAGTCCTCGAGATTATCGAGATGAAGAGAGTGAAAGCTTTTCTAAAGACTGAGCATTTACCTGATGAAATTTTAAACCAATCGATGGCCATGGAGAACAATGATCTCCAGTTCATTGAAGAGACGGAGATTTCTATTTTTTCGTCGTCCAGGCAGAAGAGTATCGTCGAGTCGCCAGTAATATTTGCCCGGAAATCCCCGGATTTCAGCAGTCCTGAGGTGTGGGACGAGGCTAGGGAGCATCAGGAGAACGATAAATTTGGGGAATCGGACGATGATGACGATGAAACCTACGCATCATTGAGCTTGATTGAGGATTCAAAATCACTCGAATCGTTGCCCATAATTATCACTAAAGAATTAGACGATACCGATAGCAGCTCAGAGAGCAGTGAGGACAATGGTGACGATTACTACTGGCAAAGTAATCTCGCAACAATTGGTGAGGAGGAGGAGACACCTTCGCTCGAATACACACCAGTGTAAGTTGGCTATTGTAATCCGTTGATCTATTGGATTTAATGCAGGTGATTTGCGTAGGAGCACCCACTGATTATTTCTCATGAAATTGGATGTAGTAATTTAACAAGATCTATATTCGATGAAAATTTCACCTCTGTCACCTCTAAAAATTGCTAGTCAATCGTCTCTCGATTTTACAACAGTATAAATCGACTATTGCAATTGGTTATTCAATTGGTTGTTCAATTGGTTGTTCAATTGGTTGTTCAATTGGTTGTTCAATTGGATTAAACACAGGTGATTGTTGCAGAGGCGTCTACAGGCAATTTCAGGTGAAAAATATACCTGATCAGTCACTGGGTGCATTACCCTTCTGATACCGCAGGTACTTTTCTTGCACAATCGCGTACTATGAGTGATGATCGGTTTCCTGTTTTTATTACACCCACGCCGGTTTCTCTGCGCCAAATCGATCACTGGGCAGATTAAATAACCGAGGGAATTACTTACTTGAAGATATACTCGTTAATAGTTTTGTGGTTTTTATTTATTTATTTATTTGTTTGCGCTGTTTTATGGGGGGAAATGCAAACGCCCCTCCCACGTATGTGGGTTATCCCTGGGAAAAGGTTAATTGGGCACTCAAGGCGGGAAAAGATCTCAGTGATCATTCCTCCAAGTTGATTCGCACGCCCATGCTTGTCGACCATTCATGCATCAAACACTGTAATTCGATAGTCGAGTGACGCTACGATTGGTAGGTGTGATTATTTTTTTTATTTGGCTAAGTACGTCGTGATGGTGCGGTTTGAGGAGAAACGAGATCACAGAGATTATTCTCGATCATTTCAATTCCAGGCACCCCTGTCAATAATATCGAACGGAGATTTTTCTATTTTTTCAATTTTCTGGGTCAATCGCGAAAAGACAAAAAAAAATTAGACATTTTTTCTTATTGAAATTCCCATTGATTATTTTACAAATCTGTCATTTTTTTAACGAGACCATATAGATTACCACAGATATTGTAATATTAGAGGTATTGCATATAGAATTACCTAATTCTCGGGAGTGAAAACAAAAGGTTCCCGGTCTCTGCAAGTCTACCGGAGCGAATTAATGACAGCATTGCAAATAGTTGACGTATTTGATTCGATGGCAGATTTGAAATTATCGGCCATTAACAACAGTTGCATAACCAATTCCTTTAAATTCTATAATTATCGTAGCTAAGAGGCTATTTAATTTTCAAAGTAATTACTCGCTCACTCTATAAATATCCCTCACGATATATTGACCAGTCTTAACTCTAAACGAACGTTACACTTAATTGGAGTCATTTATTATCACATTTGAATACCAAATTGATAGACTTTCTTCGCCACATACCTCAGAATCCCCCATATCTCTCGACATACCTCTTTTAACTCCATAATGATAAAATCCACAATTTACACCAACGTGGGTGGATTTTGCGTTGGTAGCACCTATGCATAAACATTCACTCCCTTTTTTTCATTTATCTCTCCTCCGCAGGAACAAAGAGCCTGAGGCCACCTCGATCACTGCTGAGCCAAGTGAACCATCGATTAGCCACAATAACGAGATAACCAGAGGTAAGTTAACACTGAATCCAATAAATTCTCAATCCACCTGAAAATTTATGACGACGATAAATCCGATGACAAGGACCAACACACGTGTGCTGATAACGCGACCTTCACAGCACATTCTCTCCCAAATAAAAAACTAAATATCAATTGCTTCAAGCACCAACACCTCTTGTCTCCTCCCCCATTGTCCTACCGTACCTCATTTCTCATTAGATTGATACACTCCAACGACGATTGACCCAATAGGCCAACAACCTCGCCACTCTTTTCGGGTGGGTGGATAAAAAGACAATCCAAAAAAGGACAGGCGCATCAAATTAAATAAAAAATTCGACAAATAATCCGGAAATTCACTCTCAATTCTCATACCGATTTTCTCGGAATGCCTTAACACCGGAAAACTGGAAATCCCAAGGCACCCTTTCCTTTTTTCCCCCTTTTTCATGAAAATAGAGGAGAGAAGGTGGAAAAAAAGTAAAACGAGTGTGAGAAAAACCGGCTGGGTAACTTATTCGAACGACTGAGGTGAAAATTGGTCTTTATACATACCCCGTTAGGAGGCATGTGGGTGGGCAATATACGAGAGCTTTAAGAGTCATTATGCATGTGTGTACGTAGTCACAACAATATGGCGAGATTGTGAGCAAGAAAAGTCTGGAGTACTTGGGCTGCCTGGACAAGCCAGTGGCTTGACCGCTCTCAAGGTCCTCTTCCTCTCTCCTCTCAACCCCCCACCTCCCTTACACCTCCTCACCCTTGCCATCGTCGTCGATGATTTTTTTTTTTTTCTTCATTGCTGCCCCCATCGGGTTTCTCTCACTCGTGGTGGTTTAATCGCCTTCCTTTTCGAGATCTTTCACTCCGTAACTGGTCGAACTTGCAATCGAACCTCCGCCAATTCCCTCACTTCTATCCCCATTTCGCTTGCGACATTCCACTGTGGAATTTTTACGCCAATTGCTTCGCACTGTTAAATGTATGTATGTAAGCGAATCGACAGCGGCGACATTCCATTCCATACCATATATACCAGAAAATTCACTGCTCTGTGTACTGATACACCCGCCAATGTGTTTGTGTCTCTATGGGTCTGTGGGTGGGGTTTAGGGGGGTCAGGGGGTTTAGGGGGTTTAGGGGGTTAGGGGGCTCTCGGAGACCCTCTCCTTGGTCTTGCGACGAGACTCTGCAACTAGTATACTGACCCAAAGATTGGCTGTGCGCACGCCCCCCATCAACTTGTGTGTGACTGCCTGAAGGCACCTCGTTATCGAGATACTCCTCAGGTACCCCTCTCTTTCAAAAGTCACTAACAACAATAACCTCAGGAGTTTATACCCTCGTGTTTCGATTTAAAGACATTTTATTTTTTATCCAACATTTCCTTTTTCATTTGAGCAGTTCGGCTTGCAGGGAGAGTCGAGGATTTTTTTTTTTAATGGGGAGGGGGATATGAGTTAAGGTCCTTTCTTGGAGGTGAACGAAAATGGGGCTTGTGGGGAGAGGTGACTTCGTCGGGGGTTCTCCTCGGTTCGATGGAGATATGAGTCACTTGGGTAGATGTCGAAACAATTGTCTTGCTCTTGCGATGGGACTTTTCTGTGTCATTTATTTTTACAACGCTCTTTGGAAAAAAAAGAAAACAAAATCTCAGGGACAATTGCAGCACTTGTACTTGTGGTAATTTTCTCCAAATTCAACTTAGGAGAAAGGAGAAATTTGAATAAAAAATGGTCAAAGGATAGTCAGAAATTTTGTATCAAATTTTTGGAGTGAGAAGCTGGATTTTAGTAAAAATTTGGGCTGTATGGAATTATTATTCACCGATAAACATAACGAGGTGATTTTTGGGTAGGGGTGGTTAACGAATACACATGGAATATGGCAAAAATGATAAATGTAAAAACAAAGCAACCATGACCAAAAGGAACTGAGAGGTCTTTGGCGTGATCGTAAAACAGTGCACCACGGGGCCGGCGGTTACTACTGACAAAAGGGGTGATCGTTAAACGGAAGAAAACGATAAGTCTGAGAATAATGTGATTTTCAAAGACTCGACAGTCCAATTTCATTTTGGGTGGCAGTCAATACAGAAATAAAACTCAAGTTTAATTTATTTTCTTCAGCAATGATGGCTCTACCGTTGATTTTTTCAGTCATTTCTTTCACTCTCTCTTGAACATCCATAAGAGCCATTTTCAAGAGCAAATGTCTTGGAATGCTCTTCGCTGGGGGACACCCGGCGAATACCATTTCGTCGTATTATCCAGGTTCTTCTCTCCTCCCTGAGCCCATCGGTGTTGGTCTCTGTTGACTTGTTCCCCATCAGTGTTAAAGCTAAACTTATATGCACATGGCATACAAGAGCGCGGAATATGGTAGGGATTTCTCTTGACTTGGGGTCCAGTAGAATTATCCGATCCTTCTTCTGTCTTTCTTTCATTCTCAAACTGAACGTCCACAACTCTGTGTCGCTGCGCTTCAAAGGGATCGGGTCCCGACGAACGACACATCCGTTCCAGGGAATGGAATTCGCTTTGCTCAACATTTTTCATTCCACCATGCCCCCCTTTCCCTCCTCCTTTCCATTTTTATCTCCATTTACCTTTTTTTTGCATTGGATACCTGTGCAAACACTTGCAGAGCACACGAAAAATCTCTCTTATTTTTGTTCTCCACCGGGGGGTGGCCGCCTGTTGAACGTGAGTTTGCACGAAAATCTGTGAAATTCAACTCCCTCCTCGCACGGCCTGGACAGGAAGAAATAAATAAAGAAAAATAGATGAAAAAATTTCAGCCACGACACGTAGAGAGAGGATGGTAGAAAAAAAAAGAAAGGAATGAACACCGTGGAAACATAAGAGCTTGTCCTTGGTTGGTGCTTGGTTGTTCCTGCGGATCCTACCGAGGATTCCATTGTGATGGTCACGTTGTCCGGATGCGAGAGCCGGTGCACGCTTGAGCAGACAGGTAATACGCCTCGATTAAATCGACCGAGTAATCTCTCCTCGGAGGGGCTGCCCTTTTCTCTGCCCTCCACGAATCGGCTTGACGAGACGTATAACAGAAATAAGAGCAAAGGGAGGCTGGAGACTGAAGACGATTTAGAAAAATTGAGTCACTTCCGAAGGTCCGCGAGGCAGATCCTTGAGGTCGGTTCCGGTTCATTGGCCGGTGCCAAGAGGAAGGAAAATAAAAAATTTAAAAAAAGCATTATCTCAGGATATATTTAGTTGAGGTGAATCCTCTTGATCGTTGATCGCTTGTTCCAGCCGCCCACGTAATCAATAAACTATTGAAAAAACAGTTGAGTGGAGGGGTGGCGGG